TTTTTTTTGTTGATGATTATAATTAAAGGCGTGAGAAGCAGCATAAAACTGAAGGTAACCCTGACGTCGACCACTCCGAAGGAATGTAAGAGGTTGCTGAAACGAGAAGTCGGGCCCGGACAGATCTGCGCGGGCGGTAAAACAATCGAAGATACATGCAAAGGCGATTCGGGTGGACCTCTGATGGCCATAGAGAATGGTACAGCAATCTGGACGGCCGTGGGTTTGGTCTCCTTGGGAACGACGTACTGCGGCGACGGTTCCATGCCCGCCATCTACACGTTCATCCCAACTACCTCAACTGGATCTTACAAAACCTCTTACCTTAGCCTAACCATCTCTCCTAGTTTATTATTATCATTATCATCATTATTATTACTAAGTATTATTTATTGTTATATTTATATTTTTTTTTAAATAAAGACATTTATATAAAAAAAACAATTAGTTAAAGTACACATCTATTATCGCACGATCTTCTTGTGCACGGCGCCTTCTGATGCACGTCGTGGCCGCGCTGAAGAAGCGTCGCGCCAGAACTGCGGATGCCTTCGAGCAGATCGGAGATGGCGGGACCTTTGATGAAATGATTGTCGCTGGTCGTTCGCAACTTATCGAAAATCGCGTACTTCTTCTCGTCCTGCGATCGTAGAGTACCGTTGACCTTCATGGAGAAGTAGATGTGTTCGAGCAATCCGTTCTTACGCACCAGGAAGTCGCGTTGCGACAACCTCTGAAGCCGTTCGTGCTCTTCAGCTTCGACGATCATCTGTGGTTCGAACGAGTTCACAACCGTGTTCGGCGCTGGGAATCTGATCAGTTTCCTCGCTTCTGGTGGAGACGGCGGCGGTGGTTTCGGTTTGATCGGCGCCTTCAAGTTGGAGATCCTCTTCTCCGCTTCGATCTTGGCTTTGGTTAACATCTCTTCGCGCATTATAGCCTGAGCGGTGATCCTCGCTTTGGTGGCTTGAGTCGAGGAGTAAATTGAATTAACACCTTGATGATAAAACTTATCGAAACTGTGATCGTTCGTTGGAAAGACCAAGCGAAAATCTCCGCGATTCGACATCTCGTGCTTGTAATACTCGCTGAAATTGGGCGAACTCACGGCAGATTCTTTACTCAGATTCAAACCTTGCAGACGCTCGCGAATCTTCTTTCTATCCTCGCGTATAATCCGTCTCTTGTCGCACTTCTCCAGGTTCATCATCGAGAACATATCGCCGATCAAAGCCTCTTTCACCTCGCAATCCAATTCCGTGTCCGTGTGAAAGCTGGGCGAATGATTGACTTCCAACAGTTGCGGATTCAGTTTCCTATCCAAGATTATGTCCGTGCCGAGGAGTTCGCAGCATGCCGGGATGACGTCGTGATTGGGGAAGCAGGCCAAGTAGCTGTGCTTCAGTATAGGAAAAGCGCTGATCACCGTCTTGATGATGACCTCGTCGATGCATTTCCACAGTTTCTCAACGTCGTAGCCCAGATTCCTTAGATAAGCGTTGAACCAGCTCAACTTCCTCTTGCTTCCCGCCTCGGTGTCCTGATTGTAAGTTCGACTGTGCTTGTTGACTGCATAATTTGTGAGATGCATGAAGACGTTGGAGATGTTAACGCCAGTCGGCTCTTTGTAGCGGCTCGTCGCGAACCGCACTAAGCCCTCCTTGTAAACGTAAATCCTCAAGGGATCGCAGGAAGTTATCAGCGTGTAAACCCTCAGATCGAACTTGTAGCCGTCTATTAAAAACGGCCTCGCTATGTACACCTGGCAGATTAAACGCTCCGAAGGATTAACGTCCTTCATGTTCTTGCACAAGGTGATGCCCTTCCCTTGGCTGCCAGCGTCCGGCTTCAAAATATAAGTTTTATGCTTCCTGGTGCGACTGTAAGCGAGGACATCTCCCAAATCCGCCGGCAAGCACCAGGTCTTCGGGAAAAAGTTGTACTCCTTCGGGAACAGTCGTTGCATTCGATTCAAGTTACGCGCCAGAAGATCCTTCCGGCAAATTTCCAGCATCCCGGGGAAATGGTTGATCTTCTGATATCGTTTCATCTCCTTGCATCTCTCCACCGATATAGACCAATCCGTCCAATACAGATTCCAATTCTCCGCATCTCCAGATTCCTTGTAGCCGAAACTCTGGGTGATCTTCCTGATCACGTCGTACCTGCAGTTCGTCAAGCAGACGGAGATCGAGCGTTTCCTCTTCTTCGGTCGTTCGACGTTGTTGGTCACGAACTGCGGCGGTTCGACGACCTTCTGCACGACACCCTCCTTCTCCGATTCCGAAGACGTGTAGGACGAGTCGCTCACCATTCTGAAAGAATTTACCCCTTCTGAAATTTTATTTTTTTTACAATTTTTTACATAGGATTAACAAACTAGTTCTCGAAACACCAAATTTGACATGCGTCACGTTGCGAGGACACACGCAATTATTTATTTATTTATTTATTTACGAAATAATACAATTTAATATAAATAATATTCATTTTATTTTTTTACGTATTTCAATTTCGTTGCGAGAAATTGTTGTGATTTGGGTTAAGGCGCATCTGCCTGCGGTAATCACCATGCGGTTTAACGAGTCTCTCTCGAAGTGGACGGACGGGTTCCATCGAACTATTTGCAGACACTCTCAGCAGAAATGCAACGACACGCGCTCCTCTTCTCGACGATCCTCATCGTCTCTTCATCGCGAGCAGGTAACACATCGAATTACGCAATTTGCAATTCACCAATTGATTGTTGCAGAGATTTGCGCCACGCCGGACTCCAAGGAAGGCATCTGCTACGACATCTTCCAATGCCCCACGGTTAAGCATCTCTTTCAGAAGGAGGAACTCAGCGTGGAAGATGTTAAATTCTTGAGACGTTCCCGATGTTCCGGAGAATTACTCATCTGCTGCCAAATATCGAATCGCACTCTGGAATACGAATTACCAGAGAAACCGTACAAAGTGCAGGTTGAGATCAGGCAAGACGAGAAAGAGGACATTCTACCAGCGAAATGCGGAGAGCAAAATATCCTCGACGACAAAATCATCGGCGTTTTGGCCAGCATCGATGAATACCCATGGATGGCTCTACTCAAATACCAAACAGGTAATAATAATTACAATACAATTTTAACAATTTTAATATTTGTAATATGCAGATCAAGGAAGTGGATATGCTTGTGGAGGAGCTTTGATAAGCATGCGTTACGTGCTGACCGCTGCACATTGCATCGTCGGAATGTTTGGAAAACCGTAATGTTTATATAATCATCAATGAAAAGAGCGAATGAATGTTTTTTTTTATTTTTGTGTAGGATTGCTGTAAACTTGGGGGAGTACGATTTGAGCACCGAGAGGGATTGCTCTTACGATTACAGCGATGAAGGGGAGTGCGCTGGTCCTCGCCAGGAAATTCCGATCGAATCCATAGACGTTCATCCAGAATACAGGAGACAGAACAAGAACAAGCTGCACGACATCGCCCTCATTCGATTGCAGAGGGTCGCAATGTATACCAGTAGGTACCATCTTCTATACAATCCAATGTTTCTTGAATATTCAAGAAATTTCAATCATGATTTCATCAATTTAACGAATTTGATAAAAGATAAAACCATATTTAATGATACTTAATTAATTATTCTAATTATTCTAATCTATATCAAAACGACAGGAGAAACTACAAACTCCAATAGAAAGAAGAAAAAGAGAATTAAGATTGAGATAGAGAGAGAGAATTAATAAGAAATTAGCACATCTCGCGGATTTCATTCATCGCAAAAATTACATAAATTTTCCAGCAGATCGATTTCGTTTTATCATTTATTATATTGTTGCTATTCACCTATGGAATTAAGAAATTCTAAGGCATATTTATAAAAGAATTATTAATAAGTCGAGGCGTGAAGAGAAAATTTCATTAAAAATTAATATATGAAACGCATATTTCGAATATCGAATATTGTGTGATTATACATATTTTTTTCTCTTAATTTAATTTCTATACGTTGGCCGTTGGGTGTTATTCAATTTTGGAAAGTTAAACTTTCAACTGTTACCTAAAAAAAAATATACGTGAACAGTAATTGAGGAATAGCAAAAGCAAACCTAATTCATACTTTATTTATTTTTTGTTGTTGTAATTTTTGTAATTTTCTAAATAGTAATTATAAGGAGACGCGTTCCGTAATTAAACACGTAACAACTGTTTAAAGCACACTGAAATTCGACTTTGACGATTCATTATGAAAAAAATTAAGCAAATTTTATTACTTTAATTGATTAAGTTTTTAAATAAGATTTGTACAATCTTTGATTATTTTCATAACTTAATTTATACTCTAAATCTAATGATTTCAAACGCATGAGTCAGCTCACGTTAATTGCCTGAACATTAATAAATAATTACTGTTTTCCTCTAACATTCTCACGTATCGAAATGAAAATACTCATAAATATTTGCGTTAATATCTTTAAGCACGTTGATTACAATCTTTACATAATTGCAGGTCAAAAAAAGAACTTGTGTTATTGTAATGTAACGAATTTGTAAAGCAAAGATTTCCAAATTGAAATTATAGTTACTTTTTTGTCACGAACCTTTGCATTTTGTTAAAACTATCTAAATTTTATTGCTGTATCTTTTAATTGGAAGTCATAATTTTCTAATTAATTAAATTCTTATTGATTTTCTTGAAAATATTCAAATATTATTACTGGATTTTAATAATTCTAATGTTGTTACAGTTAATTGTCTTTACATAATTGCAGGTCAAAAAAAGAACTTGTGTTATTGTAATGTAATGAATTTGCAAAGCAAAGATTTCCAAATTGAAATTATAGTTATTTTTTTGTCGCAAACCTTTGCATTTTGTTAAAACTATCTAAATTTTATTGCTGTATCTTTTAATTGGAAGTCAAAATTTTCTAATTATTGATCTTTCTTATTGATTTTCTTGAAAATATTCAAATATTATTACTGGATTTTAATAATTCTAATGTTGTTACAGTTAATTGTCTTTACATAATTGCAGGTCAAAAAAAGAACTAGTGTTATTGTAATGTAACGAATTTGTAAAGCAAAGATTTCCAAATTGAAATTATAGTTACTTTTTTGTCGCAAACCTTTGTATTTTGTTAAAACTATCTAAATTTTATTGCTGAATCTTTTAATTGGAAGTCATAATTTTCTAATTATTGATCTTTCTTATTGATTTTCTTGAAAATATTCAAATATTATTACTGGATTTTATAATTCTAATGTTGTTACAGTTAATTGTCTTTACATAATTGCAGGTAAAAAAAGAACTTGTGTTATTGTAATGTAACGAATTTGTAAAGCAAAGATTTCTAAATTGAAATTATAGTTACTTTTTTGTCGCAAACCTTTGTATTTTGTTAAAACTATTGAAATTCTATTGCTGAATCTTTTAATTGGAAGT